TGTCTCTTATTTAGACTACATTAATTCTAATATTATTATTACAACTGTGATGTTTTCTTATTTTATATTTTACTTATCAATAAATACTTATGCACTTAGAAAATTTAAAACTTTTTATTATTAATTTTGGAAAGATCAAAATTACTCTTAAAAAATGTACAAATGTACAAAAATTTAAAGGAATGCGCAATGGTTTGCAAGTTGAAAAAGAGGCACAAAATAAGTCCACAAGTAAAAAGATGCACAAAAATGCGCCACAAATTTGAAAATGATGTGCAAATCGCCACATGTGGTAGTTATTTCTTTCAATTATCTTTTAATCTCTTAATTCAAATTGATCTACTGTACATTTTTTTTCCGTATTGAAATTTGAAATATACAAATTTTCTATTCATCCTTTTTGCAATGATTTTCTCTATCTTAGTGTCTAAATCGACTCATATTTTTGATAAATACTTTTTATTATCAATATTATATCTCTTCTTAAATTCTATGAATTACTATAATTTGCCTAATGTTTTGATATTGTTTGCAAAATTAATCTCAATCACTTTCAAGGATCAATTATCAAAGGATTATCATATGACTGTTTATATTGCTGGTCTTTTTCTTCTTCTCTTTTTGCTGTTGTCAAAAAGGGAGAGAAATTGTTTGTTCTATCGTAGTGTATTTGTGTGTTTGTTTTATGTGTTTGTTTTGTTTTGTATCTCTAAAAATTTTGAAAACAAAAAATTTTTTGATTCAAATGTCTCCTTATTTTCATGTGTTCATCATTTCAAGGGGAATTTAGGAGATTCTTAGAATTTGAAAATATACAAATATTAATTGTTTTGCCATCATAAAAAAGGGGAAGATTTGTTAAGAGAGTTGCTATTTGCATATTTTACATTCTTGCAACTTGTATGGTTTTGAGGATTCCAAATATTATTGTTTTATGTGTAGTTATCTCCTAACATTTTTTGGAAGATTTATTTTTGCTCTTATGTGTACTAACATTTCAGGAAAATCGAACTCCAGACTACTGAAGTATTCAAATCAAATTCAGCATGAAATGCATGAGATATTTTAAAATTTGAAGCTTATAGTTTTCTTTGAATTAAGTTTGTGAGGGAGTGATTGTAATAGAGTGAATAAATACACACACACTTAAGAAGATCTTGAAAATTTATTCTGATCGTACATGACGAACCATGTTCGTACGGGACGATCAGGTCAGTTATCTCCTCAAAAGCGCAATAGAACGAATAGGAGTTGAAGAAAATTTTTCTAATTTCTGATCGTCCAAGATGAAGTCAAATTCATCCTAGGATGAAATGTTCTCTTGAAAATTTTCGTTTAGATGAAATTTATATTCGTTCTAGGATGAAATGCTCTCTGGAAAAATTTCATCCAGACAAACTCAAAATCATTCCAGGATGAAATCTCCTATGGAGAATTTTCTTTTAGACGAAATTTATAACTGTACCAGGACGAATTGCTCTCTAGAAAATTTTTTTCCAGACGAACTCAAAATCGTTCCAGGACGATTTGTCCTCTATAGAAATTTCGTCCGGACAAACCCATATTCGTCCCAGAACGAAGTGAACCGACTCTGAAAATTTTGGCGATGTTCTGTAGTTTATGGGTACCGACCTATGGAATAAATATTCATACTAGAAAAACTTAGTTTGTACGGGATGATGATCGGGTATGAATTCAATTCGTACCAATATACATTTGATTCATTTCCAAATCATTTAAGTAAAATCGTCTAGGACGATCCACGATCGTACGGGACGATCCACTGCATGTTGACTTGAAAATTTATAGTTTTTGGACAGTTTTTTGTCTCTTTCCTATATATAGTCCAATCTAAACTGCCACTTAATCTTTTTGCTCACTAATCTTCATGCCTATTGAAAGAAGAGTCAAGGAGAAAGTGTTCGAAGGAAAATTCTTACTACTGGAGCATGAAGTCTTCACTTCGTGTTTAAAGGTAAGTGTTTTTACTTTTGATTTCTGATTACTTCACTCTTTTTTTTCTTCCTTCTAGATTTCTTATGAGAAGATCTATCAAGGAGATCCGGTTCTCTGCCGGCACTTGGTGAGTGTGAACAGCCGAAGGGTTCTCTGCCCACACTAGGAGAGTGTGAAAGGAAGAAGGGTTCTCTGCCCACACTAGGAGAGTGTGAAAGGACGAAGGGTTCTCTGCCTACATTGAGAGAGTGTGAAAGGAAGGATGGTTCTCTACCAACACTGGGGATAGTGTAAAAGGATGATGGTTCTCTGCCAATACTAGGGATAGTGTAAAAGGATGACGGTTCTCTGCCGCACTGGGTAGTGGTGAAAAGAGTTTCTATAAAGGCTTCTCCGCCATGCTGTGGGTTCAAAAGAAGAGTCACTAGTCGTATTAGTACAATACTAGGAGGGTTCCTCCGGGGAGTGGATGTTGGTTGTGTTTGACTGAACCACTATAAATCTTGTGTCTTTTATTTTTGCTGCTTTTTATTTTCTGCTTTACTGTTTTTAAGTTGTGGTTGAAAAAATATTTCTACAAAATTCATTAAAATTTATTTTCAGTATAAAATATTTAAAAGAGGGATTAAATTTTAAATTACCAATTCACCCCCCTCTTGGTTAGCTGCTGGAACAAAAGCTTAGGTTTAACAATCTAATTTATAGTGAACAAGTTTCAATAATTAGTCTACACATTGTCAGGTGTAAATTGTGTTTTATTTATTCTATTTAAATTCAATTAAATCATTTTTTAAATTGTGTTTGTACAAGAAATACTTAGAAAAAGGTAAAATTTTTACCAGTGTTGGACCAACGCCGCAACATTCCAATTACTTGTGTCGTAGCGTCTACAATGCATCGGTGACAGACCAGGGAATTTCAACACAAACTTCTTAAGAAATATGGTAAATAATTCAATGCCCCAATGAAGCAAAGGTCAGTGCCACAATACTTTATAGCACCATAGCATCAGAAACTTGCATAGCAGCACTTAAGCCTCAAGAATTCAAGCACGAGAACATCGAGCATTATAACAACACAGTGTTAGATTACACATTCAAGTGTCATGACACTCAAATTTCATAGTTTCATGGTAGAGATATTTAAAAAAGATGGAGCTATATCAATTCAGTAAAGTGACACACATATTCAATCAATGGGTGCATCGAGTCAATGTAGCATCGTAATTGAGAAAACTCAATAACGCTAAGGTGCTTTTTCATTTTATAGCACTGTAGTACGTGCAACCATTTCAAGTGCTACGACACCCAGGGCCATGCATGCACTTACTAAATAGTTTTCTAGTTCTTATGTTGAAGAGTTATTTTGCTTATAGTAGAGTCCTATAATATACAATGCAATTCTTTAGTTCCCCCTTAGAATAAAGTCTAAGGAAGGCTAAAGAAGGGCATAATACTTTCATTAGAGATCTTAGCCTATCTTGTGTAAGAAATCCTAACATTGGAAGAGGAAAGGGTGTGGGGAAATCAATTATAATATCATGGTGAAGTTTTTCTACATTATTTTTCTTGTATTTTTTCTTTTATGACTGAAATAAAAATGTGTTTGCTTTCTAATTTATTTATGTCTCGCTAATTTTTAAGTTTTTGGACTAATAAAGTGAATATAATGCAAGTACTAATATATACTCTCATGCCTTGAATGAAGTTATAAATATTTTTAATATCTCCCATTCTTAATTTAATGCATACAATGACCATATATATAGTTAATATATAGTTTAATATATTACCTCGATGTAGGAATATTGGAAAAAGTAGGAGTATTAGAATGGAATGTTGGCATGCCTAGACATAGAATGTTAAACCTTCTAGGTATTATGGAACCATTAGAATTGTAGGAAGGTCTTGAATCTCCATTTACAATCCTAAAACATCGATAGTGATTTAATGATACATATACTATGATCCACATTAACATTCAAGAGTCTCATTAGAAAACATTATTTTTTATAAGTAATAGTCCAAACATATTTTCTATAATGACATCACATCTATTTGCATTATATGTAAGTGGCAGAAACTCAAATACCTTCATTCTTGTTTAATAGGATATACTATGAATCTATAATAAATAGTACTAGTTTGATTACAATCTAGCAGAACATTTTCTCGTGGGATCAAAACTAACTCATTCACTTTATTATTTGATCAACACATATACTTGCATATATAGTGGGAAATTATATATAAAAAAAACTCGAAGCTTATCATAAAAAATAGACACTATTCACCAGTTTAACAAAAACAAGCACAAGTACAATGCAAGCCACATTGCATGTCCCGCATCAAGTTTTTCCCACCATTATCGGGGAAGTAATATGTGCATTATAATTTCAAACTAGATTGTTAACATTAGTGCATATTTAGGCCTGCTTGTATCATGTTTCTTTATTTCTTTATTTTTTATTAAAATTTTAAAAAGTTAAAAATATATTATTTGTTTGGTTTTTATTATTTACTTTTTAGTGCATTATTTTTGCATGCATAGTAGATCTAGTTAGGAGCCTTTATTATTTAATTATGAGATTAAAAGGACCATGATAAAAATTTAGAAAATAAAAAGATTTTACAGATGTATGAACTACCACAAGATTAGGACTATCCTAGACCTTTTAGGGAATATTTCAATTATGTAGTAGAAGGAATCTTTCATAATATCAATAGACATACTATCAATATAATTAATTTTGAGTTAAAACTTACCATAATTTAGATGATTCAAAAATTTTAATTTGGGAGAACTTCTTTTGAGGATCCCAACCTATACTTAAAGGTATTAAAATTTAGCTAGCTTCTTATAAATTTGTACAACATTCAAGCATAATGTTATCACAAATGTTGGTATTAAACATTAATTATTTTCATTTTCTTAAAGGTGAAAACTAAGATGTGGTTGAATTCTTTGCCATAGGCTCTATATTCATTTGAAACGAGTTGGCACATAAATTCTTAGTTAAGTATTCCTCACCATAAAAAACTCTCAAGCTTAAAAATGATATCACATCATTTACCCAGATTTAAGGAGAGTTATTTTATGAAAGTTGGAAGAGATTTAAGAAAATTCTTAGGAAATTCCATCACCATACTTTTCTCAATTTATTGTTTATTCATACTTTTTATAATGGACTAGTAGGATTCCTTAGGTCGATTATAGATATAGTAACTGGAATATCATTATTATCTAAGCTAGTTGAAGAAGCCTTTGAATTAATTAAGGAAACAAGTATAAATAATTTACAGTGGCCTTTTAATAGGATGAATCCTAAAAGAGTAGCATGTGTTTATAAATGTAATGCTTTATCCATTTTGACTGCTCATGTAGCTATAATTTATAAGAAATTGGATATTTCTGGAGTTAGTTTAGGATCATGATCATCTTTATAATTGGAAGAGAACAATTTAAATTATATTAGTGATTATAATGCTATAGGGATAAATAATTTGAATTTAATTAGAAGATAAAATAATTTCTATTCCAATACATACAATCTAGGTTGGAGGAAGCATCTTAATTTTAGTTAGTGTAATAATAATATTGGTAGTAATAATCAATGGAGTGTAGGTCAATCTAATTAAGGGGATATTGGAATAATCCTTAGTAACCTTTAATAAATCTTAGACCTTTTTATCCCCCAGGTTTTAACCAAAATAGTTAGTTTAGAGAAAGAAAGACACCTTTGAAAGAGAATATGATTCGATTTGGAGCCCAATTACAAAGTTATATTACTTCAATTAAAAATTTAAAAAATTAATTAGGGTAGCTTGCATTCTCTTTTAATAGTAGACCTTATAGAGTTTTACCCAATAATATAAAAATTAATCCAAAGGAGAAAGGAAAAGAGCATAGTGGAGACCACTTGAGAAGTTGTGGTGATTCATTACAACAAAAATGTCATATCTAGGCAAGTCTAACTAAAGACTATAAACTTAGTGCTGATGATAGTCAACCTTATTATATTTTATGTTCAAATTTCTTATATGTTATATTATTTTTATTTGGTCATAGAAATTGTTGACTTTTATTTAAAATTATTTATGTTGTGTATCATTTATATTTAATTTAAATTCCTATTTAGGCTTAAGTGTTAAAAATTATCCTCTATATAACACTTGCACTTTGATTATTTATTTAGCTAAAATAACAATAGCAATCAAATATTATGTAAAATTAAGATAAAAATAAAACCTTAGATGATAATTTGAATGAACAAAGCATAGAAATTCATAATTTAAAATCTTAATAATTAACTAAGTAAAATCATTTAAGTTATTAACTTGTCTTAAATTTAGAAACTATACACTCTTGCACTTACTACTGAATTTGATAATGAATAATTGAGCTTAGGAAAAAGAAGTGCACAGCTTAAATTATGAAGATAATAATAAACTTAAATATGGAATTAGTAAGCTTACTAAATCCTTAAATAAAATCAATTAGGGTTACTGGAGGAATGAAAACAAACTTATATTCAAAATCATTAATTTGTATTCCAAGTATGAAAAAGTGTAAACATAAAAAATCAAAAGAGAAAATTAAAAAAAGATGAGTACATTCAAAATTTAGTATATGTTAAAGCACATGTCTAAAAAGTATCCTAATACTTAAAATCAAATAGGATAAGGTAGGTGAACTAATACATATGACAATGCATTAATAAACTTTTAATTTAACTACAAGCACAACTAATCTCTAAATGATATTTTCTTCTTTTTTTTTTTAAATCAGAAGTCAATCTTACACATACATTGATAGTAGATAAGTTCAATTCAAGTAAGAATAATGATGATTACTCAGGCTAATTACTTATGATTTTTCAAATTATATTACAACTTTGATAATTCCAAATTACTTATAAATTGTGATGTAGTATCTTATATTTTAGTAAGTTAAAATTACCAATTTTTATTTGGGATAAAAGGGCTTTTGCTAAATTGCTAAGAAGAAGTGCTCAAATATGGGAAAACTAATATATTAAAAAAAAATTCATTGTTTTGGAGGAATAACTTTTCATTAGTATCATATTATTTATAACTAACTATATCATCATCATTCATACTTTTGTATATTGCCTAACTTAAATGACTATAATCTTCCTACTAGAAGGAAATCATAGCCTCAAAATGGAGCAAAGAAACTCACTTTCAAATTTGGTCCTCATAATGAGGATTGTTGGCTTATTTTTTAAGAGAAAACTTACTTTAAGGACTGTAAGCCTTGATAGCCTTCAAATATGGTCCATCCAATATGGAAAATCATTACCTTCTTAAAGAGTAGATCAAATATTTTTCATTGGGATCAAAAGTGTTGATTTCCTATAAATAATATTTGTTTAATGAAAACAATCATTGTCTTTTAAAGGGAAGACGTTAGCCTTGTCCTAGGGATGACAAGTCTTGAACATGTATGCCAAAATCTAGTCCACCAAAGTAAAAAATAAACATTTTTTAATGGTATGACTGAAGCCTCATCATTGAACTTTGATTGGTTAAAATGATTTTTCAACTATTACTAGATAATCATTTTACCATCGAAAAAAATTTAGAGGCTATTAGTAGAACCATATCTCTTTTAGCCTTAATAAATATTATATATAGACCTGATGAGGAGCCATATGTCTCCTTTAGCCTTAAGGGTGAGTATTTATAGATAAAAGGGGAAATATTTTTTCTAAAAATTCTCAAAAAAAAAAAAAATGAAGCTAATTTACTTCTTATCAAAAATTGTTTAAAAGGAATATCTTTAAACTGAAAAAATAATTGCACATGTTAAAAATGCTTTTTAAGGTGTTAAATTATTTAAAAACATATCAAATGGCATCTAGTCGTGAGTTGTAAGTGTGGTCCCATCACCCATTGGTGTACACAAGTGGTCTTAAGTAGGGGTGTCAAAATGGGTCAACAAGTCGGGTTCGGGTCCCACATGTATTGACATGGATCCAAATTAGTTGACCTTAACTTGACCCAATTTTTTAAAATGAGTTAGGAATTCAAACCCAGACCTGACCCACCAGTTTATCGAGTTAAACTGACCCGCGAAGTGAGAGTTTGGGTGCACTGATGTAGAGTTTGGATGGGAGCGCTAGTCTGCCTCGCTGGTGCTACAGTTGGAGAGCCAGAGAGCAGAGTTTAGTGTCACTGGAGGGATCAATTAAGAAGAGCTACAAACGACATAGTGGCGTTGCATACTGAGAGATGTAGAACGATACGACCTGCAAGCAGGCACTACATTATGGAGTTCGGACAGTGGGAGGTCTCGCTGGTGGCCTGACACAACAAACAATGTCAGGATTCGCTAGTGGCATAATGTAATGAAGTGAAATAATGTAGAGTTCAAACCACTGGAGGAATTATGGGATGTGAGATCACACTACAATGGGTCGAGTTTGGGTGCTTGAGTGCAAATGGGTCATTTCGATTTGATTTAGGATTTTCAGGTCAACCTGAACCTGACATGATTTTATAAATAAGTCAGAATCTCAACCCAGACCTGATTCATATGGAAAATGGGTTGACATGAATAAAAAAATTTTAAGTTGGGTTTAAGGTCAGGTCAAATTTTGATACCCCTAGTCATAAGCATTACTAATTACATGAGGTTACTGGCAGAATAACTTATAGGTCTAGTTGCTAACACACATCTTAATATATTTTTCAGCATGAACATTTAGTTTGGATTTTTTTGAAGTACTCTTTTTTTGATATTTTGAAAATAATTTCAATACTTTTAGATCATAATAAAGAATTTACAATTAATTTCAAGTATTTTAAAGAATTAAGATAAATCATTTTCAATAATATTTTCTCCAATCAATGAGCCAACTCTAAGGATTGCTGGACTTCTAAAGGAGTAAATTTTAGTTTATTCATATTCCTAACGAGAGATCAACACTAATATTTAGGGAGCAAGTTAATCTTATAATTCTTCCAAAATTATAATTATACATTGAGAAGATTTTAAAGATTAGATGAATATTTATAGAAAATATAAGCTCAATGTGTAAAAATAAGGCAACTAATTTGACATAAAAATGAACTTAATCAAGCATGAATCTCAACGTAAATTTATTTTCATTAAGCAAAAAATTTTCATTAAGCATTTAGGTCAATCACACCTAGCCTTGTTCTTAATATACTAAAAGAGTCAAAGGCTAGTTCTTTTGTGAGAATGTCTTCAAGTTGGTTTTCCGTTGTAACATGATTCAGCTCAATTTCTCCTTTGGATACATGATCCCTTATGAAATGATGCCTTATATAATTATGTTTGGTTCTTGAATTTTGAATAGGATTCTTTGAAATATAAATGGCACTAGTGTTATCACAATAAATTGGAATAATGTCTATAGTAAATCCTAAGTCAATCAACTATTGTTTTAACCAAAGAACTTGTTCCACACAACTTCCTAAGGTAATGTATTCAGCTTCAAAAGTGTTACAAAATTTTATTTTCTACTGGACCAAGAAACTAGTGAATTTTTAATAAATTAACATGTTCCAGATGTACTCTTTCTATCAACTCTACAACCTACAAAGTTCTAATCTGAATATCTAATTATTTCAAATGAAGAGCTGAACTTAGGATACCAAATCCCTAAGTTCTGAGTTCCCAAGAGATATCTCAAAATCCTTTTCACTACTGTCAAATGCGATTCTTTTGGATTTGATTGAATCTAGCACACAAACAAACACTAAACATAATATCGGGTCTGCTAGTAGTCAAGTAAAGCAAAGATCCAATAATCCCTCTAAATTTCTTTTAATCAATAGATTTTCTCTTTGGGTTATTATCTAACTGAACTGAGAAACTCATAAGTGTACTAACAGGTCTAGTATTATCCATTTCATACTTTTTGAGGATATCCTTAACATACTTTGACTGATTAAGAAATATACCCTCTTCAATTTGTTTAATGCTAAAGCCTAGAAAGTAACTCAAATCTCTCATTAGGCTCATCTCAAATTCATTACTCGTTATTTTTGAAAATTCATCATAAAGATTTTTATGAGTACATCCAAAGATGATATCATCAACATAAATTTATACAATGAGTATGTCATCTCCCAATTTATTTAAAAAAATAGTTGTGTCCAC